AAACTCCAATATAAATGACCATTTTTCAGGCCAATATCAAGAATCAGGACTCAAGGCATACATATGTATGTACGGATGTTGCTTTGTTTTCACAGCACGATATGTTGGTGTGATTGTATGTACATACATGGTCTCAAAGAAGACGACGATGTGAAGAACAATAACAACACGTTTATGTTAACATTAAATATCATTAGTATTCAATGTAATTGATATCCATCCAACAGAACAGACACGCCAGGAATGTGTGCAATCCAAGCCATACTAAAACGCAGAGATCCAAAACACACACCCTAACACAAAAATAAGGTCACTTTTGTCCATTCACACCCACATCGTTTTGTGTGTTGGTGTGTGCATCGTTATCCTTTGGCAATTATCCATTTTTCAGGGCAATAACCAAATGGTCTAACTGTCAACCAAGCAAATATTTCCAATTCACATACACACACAAACACAAGCTTACACGCATCCATATACACCAACACAAACACGCAAGGGACAGTCGAGGTTTAAAAATTCAAAACATGCCAAAATACTTAAGCTTTTTCCAATTAATTGGCCCATAACAAACATCCATATCAAGAGGGACAATGCCGACTATAACGACAACGACAACACCAATAACATCGAAAAATCATTCCATTGGCATCCGCAGCCAATGTTCATGGCGAACATTAGGACAACGACCAATGATGGCAGCTGAAATGATTATAACTCGTCAATACGAATAATGGCGATGATGTCCTGGCCAATGTGTTTTGTGTGTTTTGTTATGCAAAGAAGAAGAAGAAGAAGGGGGAAAATAACAAAAGTCAGTCGATTGAACACTCTTCGACACGTTGGGGATACTTTGGTGAAATTAACATGAAATGAAGGTGAATTCCAATAGGTTTTAAATGCCATTTTCTGCATTATTAACTCAATGAATATTAGGCAGAAATTAAGAAAAACAAACTCTTGCATAGAAGTAGTAATTTTTTTTAGTATTATTTTCATTTCAGTTCGAATTCTCCGAAGGTGACAAAACTGAGCTAATAGGGAATATATGTATATATATATATATAATATCTTAATTGTTCAGTTGGTCCCAAAGAACAGGCGATCAAGGTTTGTTTTCGTTTGAACACGCACAATTTGGCCAAAAACACTCGAGTCGATTTGAGCCAAACCAATAAGGAAATATCAAAAGTGGGATGGGACCGACTATATGATACCCTTAACCACGTTAGAACATACCATTCTAGGCTCTAAATTAATTAATACGCTATACATATATATATAAAATCAGACGAAAATCGGAACCGATTTCAATGAAACTTCACATACAATCCATTACGTTGTGCAAAATTTCTCGCAACCCTTGGAAGTTTGTGTGCACCATTCACATAAAATCGGACGAAAATATACAGTGGTGGTCACGTAATTAAAACATTAACTATGGTAAACTATTTTTGATCAGCCCTCGATTCGTTGGAAGTATTTTTACAATTTTTTTAATTAAAAAAAATTGAAGTTGTCCATGGGTCAAATAAGTTGGCACCGCCAAATTTCATTTTATTCGGATTATAAATGCGACCTGAACTTAGCTTACAATTTAACATGGACGGACGGACATCCATAAATCAACTCAGAAAGTGATTCCACGCATATTCTAAAAAGGAATCATGAATCTATCTCGTGTCCTTTTGTCAGTTGCAAAAATATAACCAAAAAAATAATACCCTGTGCCACAGGGTGGTGAAGGGTCTTCGAAGACGAGACAGATAAAAAAAAGTTGTTTGTGTAGAAACACTTCGAAACATTTTGTCGAAACAATAGTTCGTTGTTAAAACTGGTCATGTGGCAATGTGGGACGATCAATTCTCAGTGGAATAATTCAATTTGTCTGCATGCTTCGAAGAAAAATGTCGATCATGCATAATCGGCTCAGATCAGCACTCAAGCAAAAATGTGTGGTCACTGAATATCGTCGCCAGTATATGTTGTGGTTGCGTTCAAAACTAATTTTTAAGTTGTCGCAATCGGTTTGAGAGCATGAAGAATTGTAGATATCACGCTGATGGTAAACATTCGCAATTTTCATTATTAGACCAGAGATATATCTGTAGTAGCTCTCGTAGATTGTTTAATGTTAAATTACAAGAAGTTTGACCTAAATTTCTTACCAAACCCAATCTTTGGAAGTAGATAAATAGGAGAATATGCCACAAAATATGTGAACTACATGTAATAGGTCATATCTTCAAACTCTTTGATTAAAAGTCTTGTCAGAAGATTTATTCGTTATTTCTATAGAAGAGTATGAAAAATATAATGTATAGATTCCACTATAAACCTACGTGTGTGTGTGTACTTACAATAAAAAAAACAAGCCAACAATATTTAAATTTTATGACTACATGCTTGAAAGAGCTAACGCTATTTTATCCCGCCGTAAAAGCCACATTTGTAGCTTTTATTGTCATTCGAATGAAAAACTATAAAAACCCTTGTTTTATTCATATGGTAAATTAAACACGATTAGGCAACAACGAAAAATGAGAGGGCCAAATCGATGGGAAGCTTTCAGGAAAATGCCTCTAGTATAAATAAAATAAATTTATATTTGAAACCAATTATTTGTCTCGTCTTATGATTATCCTGGTACAAACGGATTGTTGAAATATCTTAACTCGGGAGATTGATTATTAAAATCACAATTTCATTTTTAAATATACGACGCATCATTAAAATACGTTCACTTTTCGAAAATTGTATTTTTGTTATAAATACGGGATAATATTAACTGCACTCCGTCCCTGAGAAAAATGACCACTTTCTAGCATACTCTCGCACATACACACATCCACTGGTCATTCAGTATTATGGAATTATGTTGCGGCCGATAATAATGGAATTGTTAACAATTTTGTGCATTGAAGCTTTGTAACATGAACAGCTGCTATTCGTTTGTCCGCTGGCCAATGGCAGGCAGCATGAACCGCATAATGCCTCTGTATTAAATATTGTTTCAAATATGTTAAATGAAGTGTTTCATTCGATTCTATGTACAGTCATATGTTCACTTTGTTGTACTTAATCGAATTTTATTATTGAGTTGTTGTTGCTGTTTGTTTTTTTCCTAAACTGGTGTAACCGCAAATACTGCGATTTTATAGAGAATTTTATTGGGAAACTTTACGATTATGATTAGCATCGTAACCGCTGGGTTATATGTTCATATATTGTACTGTGTCAATGGAAATTAACTTTATTACGTGCAACTTTAACTGAACTTTGGAACATTTACATTATATAATGTGGCTGGAAATAAAAACACAAATAATATTATTGAACATTTTCAGTGTGGCGACAAATTTTGTTCGATAAATCCATTATACATACATATATAAACATTTAGGATGCTTAATTGAAATTTTGCATAAACATATACATATGTACAAATGTGAATCTAACATTTTTATATGCTTGGTAATAAACATGGAAGTTGTAGCTGCCAAGTTTTTGATGTAAGAACATATCTTAAAGAGACTCATTCGATCGAAAAAAAATATTAAATATATATATATATATATATATATAGATTATGTTTTTGCAAAACAGTCAGGCTTAATCCCAATTTGTTGTTTTTATAAAAAAACAACTATTTATTAGTGGGGAATGTATGGCATTGTCCGCCGAGGGGTAAGGCAGGGAAGACTATAGTTTCGGATCTCGCCACTGATCCTCATCAGTTCCCTTAGTTTTTTGTTGGGATATTCTCCCCAGAAGCTATTAATAGCTTCTTTACAAAAAACCTTTCAAACCCAAATGTCTCTTGTGACAATTCGAAGTTCTTACGTTACCAGCGATACGACCCCAATGAGAAGTTCGTTTCGTTGGCGCCTGACTTCGTGGTCAACAAGGTATTTACAGACAACTACAATACATTTCCCACCGATATGTGTCGTCACTTTGTGACGAATGCACATAACGTTGTTGTTGGTATTGCTAGTTAAAGCAATACCAACTACTGAAGTTGTAGACGAGGTCATATTGCGGTCATATTGTTTGGTACAGACATTGACTCCGGAGAACAGTGGCAAACTTGTATAGTAGGCAATTCTATCGCTTTTATGTGCCGAAAATGGATTCCTATTTAAAATCCTTAAAATAAAGAAAACGTGACAGACGAAAACTCGGTTACTTTAAGGAAAGGTATTGGCCATAATTGTCATAATCTGCTTCGGGACATCTAATGGGAATTATATGAAAACAAAAATTTTTCTACGAAAAATTTGTTTGCCTTCAAACTAAAAATAACTGTACCTAAAGTAGGATGGGACCTTTATTAGTCCCCATATTAAGGCCCGTCTTGATTTAGGTATAGATGGGAGCAAAATCGAGCAAAATATCTCATTGCCAAATAATAGGGTATAACACGTTTGTATCCCGTACAAAAAAAAAATGGAAACACGTTAAAAACATATAAAAGTAAAAAATATTCAAAACTGCAAAAAGTTTGGATTTATGAAAGTTCTGGAATGGAGTATACTCTCTTTCGTCGTTATGTACGAGATATGATAAAACATAGACCTCTTGGTAATACATTTAGTATTAGCTCCTTAAGTCGACAATTTAGTTCGCTATGGATGTAGTAGGAAATTTTGTCATGGGTTTGAATGTTGGATATGTTTAAAATATTGAGAGTAAATATTTTTTAAGTTTATTGCGTTTTAAAATTGGATTGGTTTCTAGTTCACATGGCCGTTGAACACTTATTGTATTTGGTAAATGGAAAGTAAAGCTGAACATTTTTTTTATAAATTGCATCTTAGTAATTTTTCAGTACAAAATAAAAATTTCACCGATATGGTTATTAAAAATAATTTTTGTCTCTGAACCTCCGGAGTAAATCATTAACTATTGTTGTTATTATTTTATAAATCGTTGTTGTTATTATTTTACAATGATTTTTATCATTATCTAAATTAATATAGAAACAAAATATCACTTACCGTCCTCAAGAATGAAACATCATCCTGCTCCGATCCTCCTTCAGCTTCAGCCATTTTTGTTTAATACCAAAAAATGACTTCAGCTTCCACAAATTAACAGTTAATCCAAAATTATGACGTGATTTATTTTTTCACTCTACACTTTTTCACTTAATAAAAAAATCCACTCAATATTTAGTTGATAGAAATGACGTTAATGTTCTGAGAGGCCAACGAAATGCCCATGTATCATGCAACAAACCCTGCGTCTAAAAGCACGCAGTCAGTTTGTTGACCTCGTTTGTTTTTATTTAATGCACCGCAAATTTCTTTCGTTGGCTGCAGAATGGATGTCAGTGTAAAAATAATCTGAAAATAAAAACAAAAATAAAAATTTAATTAGAATTTCAATTGGGCTAAATACCACATTTGTTCACTTCAAAGGATAAGAGGTGAGGCTATTGCATTTTAATATGTTCAAATTTACACGCAATTTCATTCACATGGACTTCCCACACAAACAAACAAACACAATCAAACCGGAAATAATGTGTCCACGTTACAAGGTATGACACGATTTGTCGTTGGCATGGTGCTCTGTAACCGCCTGGCCGGCAGACGCCTCTTTTCATTTAAAAATAACATCAAAACACTGCGCCTTCAAATGCCAAACAAATGCTATTGACAGTGGTCTCTAGTTATGGTTGTTTTTAGCGTGATTCATTATTGCACAGACATTAAAACGTAACACCCGGCTAATAGGTAAAAATAGCTGCAGACATGCAATCTTTTACTCGGTAACAGTTTGAAAGTGACTGGCTGCCAGCTGTTGACACGAAAAATATAGGCCAACGTCTATAGCGGAATGTGGCAGAACATATGTATGGCTCAACGGCATGGTGCTGCTATATCGAAATGTAAACAAAAACACAAAATGGCACGAATTGTTTTTATCGCCACTGCGCATATCCTCGCCAGGGAGTCAAATCACAGTTTCTCGTTATTTTCCGTTTTTGTTTTGCTATTCAGATTTTGTTTTATTCGCTAGCTCGTTGCCACTCAGCTGATTATTTGCAATTTGCTTTCATGTCTCTTCTATGGTCTGATGGTCTCTGAGAAGTGTACTTCGTTTGTACATACCCTCACACACATGCCTGGTATTCTCCTTGTCGGTGTATATTTCTAAGTATATGCTATTTGTGCACATACATACGTGTATGTATGTAGTATGCAAATTTGAGGAAATATTTGCGTAAATAAATGTTCGTTCTACTTTCGTTGAGAGAGTTTTCTTGTTGGCAATCGGCCAATTATTTGGACGACATAATGCGGACACTAAAAATATTAAGTCATTCGATTTTTTGGAGAATTTCTTTGGTGTTTTTTGGGTGGTGCTAATAATATACACCATACATTTTTGATTATTTGTTGTACATGTTTTCAAAAAATACTGAAACTAAATCATCAGCCGGTTACACAAATTAAGTTACTTAAACTAACTACAGGCAAGGCAAAGTTCTATATGTAGAATAGCATTTTTAATAATATGTATAGGATGAGATATAGAAAAACGATTATGCAAGTTTTTATATACCCTGGTGGCTAAAACTAAAGCAACTGAAATTACAAACTGAATAAATGATCTGTAACTTTTTTGAAAATATTCATTTTTAAAAAGAAACCAGTGAGCGGAGCAGTATAGTCGGACGAGGCCGACCATATGATACCCTACACAACTACCGGGGAACTCTAACTTTCTGCGGATGTGTATTCCGAGCATGGGCAATATTTCGTGATATTTGCTCCCCCTAGCCCGATTAGAGGTCAACAGTACATCTTCCTTACACTGAGATATTTTGCGAATATCACTCATATTCAGTACAGCGTTTCTAGTTAATTGTCCAGATTCCCTTCACCATTCCCTTCACAAAAAAATTAAGTATTCGGCCCACTTCATCCCATAAGTATAATTTGACCATCACCAAAAGTTGTCCTTGACCATAACTAGAACCTCATGGAAAATTTCAAAGCGATCTGCGATATATTTCCTCTAATGTGGTAATGGGTTTCTAAATAATACGTGTAAGTCCCACATTCGAGTATGTACGACAACATAATTGGTATCAATTTAAAGGTCAACCACTCCTCTTGGATATAGTATCAACTTTTTGGATCTGTGTCCTTAAGGGGTAAATATATACGCTATAGAATACAAATTTTGTAATTTTTCACACAAAAGTCAGGGTCCATTTGACCCGCTTAATATTGACCGATCAAAACAGGCATGCTTATTCTTTGGCCCGATTCCCTTCTCCATGTAAAATTTCGCAATGTTCGGACCATAATAGCGGTCTCTAGAGCGACCAGAAAAACCGACAAAAATTAAGTATTTGGTCCATTTCATCCCCTAAATATTAACCGATCTTCACCAAAAACAATAGGGGTCTTCATTGGCCAGAACCCATCCTACATGCAAAATTTCATGAAGATTGGTCCATAACTGTGGCCTGTATCGTGTTTACAAATTATAATGGACAGACGGACGGACGAACACGACTCAGCTAGTCGAGATATGACGATCGGTATACTTAAAGGTGGGTCTAGGACCAAACTTTTGTGGCTGCACAAAGCTATAATACCCTAACAACATAGTTGTGTAGGGTATAAAAATTCTAAATTCATGGGTAGATGTGTTATATTAAGTTTGGAGAAAAAATTAAATTATTAAAAGACTATGAAGAAAATGTTGTACTCTAGAGATGCTTTAGTTTTGTCCAAGCAAAAAATGAGACAATTCCCTTATCCAAAGTGGGCAAATTAAATTAAAACTGAAAAACCCATCACGATATCTTTAGTTTTGAAAAAGTTATTCGGCATTTATTAAACTTGCAATTTTAGTGGCTTTAGTTTTGGTCACCAGTGATAATGATATGAATTTTTTTCCACCATGGCATATTTACAAGGGGACATGATGCAAATTCTTATTATAGATTTCCTTTGCTGCGAAATTTATTGTGAGAAAACAACCGAAACAGCGTAGAAACACTGAATTTCTTTCACAAAATCGAAATTAAAGAACAAACACTTTGTTTTTGTTTTTTTTTCAATATTAAAACAGTCAATGCATACTGAAAAAAAACAATTTGCCCGAATAAGAATATAACAAAATGAGAATCCGAAAAAATCTCTTCAGAACCGTAATTTTTAGTCTCCTAAGGTAATAATATTTTTAGTGTTGTTGCTATTAAATACGATATGAACTTATTAATGTATATTTCCTATTTTTATACCCTTCACCACAATGTGGTACAGGGTATTATGGCTTTGTGCATATGTTTGTAACAGGCAAAAGGAAACGAGATAGACACATGGTTCATTTTGAGAATATACTTAGAATCACTTTCTAAGTCGATATGTGCATGTCCATCCGTCCGTCCGTCTGTAGATGTTAAATTGTAAAAAATACAGGTCGCATTTACTATCCGATTTGTATGAAATTTGACACAAGTCACTTATTTGGCCCAAAGACGAACCCAATTGAAATTCAA